GGCATTAGCTGAGGCCAACGTCGTCTATTGCCTCATCGAAGTGTCGTCCTCAAGAGTTGTTCTACGCGCCCCTCTCATCGGCCTTGTTCCTCTCGTTTCATGGCGTCCGCTTAACCGGGTGTCGAACCAACTTCACGAGTCATCGGTGCTCTGACTACTGTTCTCAGACCGTTGATCTCATATGACAACTCGGGTATCAACATGCAGGCCCCCGAGCTCAGATGGGATGTCTTCGACATTTCTTCTGAGATTGTCACCTATATCTTAGTCCGAGTTAGCTGGTTGAGATCGTCTCCCTTGGAGCGTGTGGTTCGTGCTTCTGTTGATGATGCTAAGCATTGATGCGTGAACCAAAAAGACAGCTCATTTAATGCAACGTATCTGAAGCGCTTTACTGTTGGTTTTGAAAAGGCGTGTCAATTTAACGGCTGCCTACGTGGCATATGCATGGCGACTCATGAGCTGTGCAAATTAAGCGTTGTACCTTCTGACTAGAACTGGTGTGTCCTTTAAAATTCTGAATTTCAAACAACAAGGCTCGTGGTGTTGGCACGACCCCTCTATATATATGGAGTCCTTAGTATTTTTTCAGTTTTACTTTTGCAATCTTCTAAAGCATACAAGTTATCCAAAGCAAGAGCGTTTTTTGCAACCTACAGAGTTTTTCGGCCTCATTTTTTTCAGTAATTCTGTTTTCGAGTTGTACTTCCTCTTGTTTTTTTCTTCGGTCATGTCGATTTCCTCAAAATTTGCTACTTTCAGTTCTTCCGGCGATACGGCGGTAGTCAGAGCCGACAATTTGGTGGTCTATTCCCCAAGGCAACGGCGACTGTGCTGCTTTAGGCGACGTCGATCTCGGTGGTTCGGTCGGCCTCATCAGCGACAAAGAAGACTTCTGATGATGTCGGGGGAGAAGAAATTTTGAAACCGAAAGTCGACGATTCAGTTCCGTCAAAAAATCTCCTCCCCAGGAATCCGACAACCCTAATTTTAACAAGTCAGCCGAGGTTGATG